AACAAGAGAACATTACAATCAAAACAAATACTACAACAACAACATACTTTGGTAATGTTGATGACAACCTACAATTTGTAGCAGCATTGAATGCAAAGGCAGATGCAACATTATTTCGTTGAATTGCTGCTGCACGCCATTAATAGTCTCCACCCAACCAGCCACCCACTTCTCTCAGCCTCACCTTCTCTCTCTCTCTCTACGTCTCCCTCTCTTTTAGGCACTAAATAAGAACGGCTTTGAAAAAACAAAACGGAAACTTAAACATAGCCATTATTATGGGATTTTGAGATTATATGTTTTTGTTGCTATTCTTGTCATACTTCGGCTTTGGCGAATATTGTTGTTGTTTGCAATTTCCTCTTTTTGTTTAGAAAACAGCATGACAATCATACTTGAAATGAGGGGTTTTTATAGAGAAGAAAATGTCTCTATAAAATTAATCAATAAGGCCATGGAAGGTCTTACATATTTTTATGACCTACAAAGTTTTGAGAGGATCTGTATAATAATGTTTGTTCTAAAAGTGGTAAAAATTGAAATGTCGTAAATGTCACAAACCTGTGAATAGAAGACATTCTACATGTATAAAACGTATAAAACTGTCTTAAATCTATGATAAAGACGTGAAATTATTACAACAAGTCTTGAGAGGATCTGTATAATACAGTTTGTAAAACTAGTTAAAATCGAATTGTCGTAAATGTCACAAACCTTTATAATATGTATAAAACCTCAAATACGGCAATATAATGTTTGTAGTACTTTAAAATCAATAAATGTTTATAAATTTAATAAAAAATATCATTGTCGTAAATGTCGTAAATGTCGTAAACATGTATAAAACCTATAAAACCAACAAATATTGTTTAAAATGCCTGCAGTTGATCTAAAATTATGTCTGTAAAATTTGAATGATGTGTGGGTGTGAAAAATGGTAATGTCGTAAATGTGGAAAACCTGTATAATATGTAAAAACGTCAAATACCTCTGTAATATGTAAAAAACGTCAATAACACCTATATAATGTCTATAGAAATGATAAAAACAATGAAAAAATAAAATATGTAAAATATGTAATTGTAAATAAAACGTCGTAAACATGTATAAAACGTCATAAACCTGTATAGAATCGCAAATATTGCTTGAAATAGACAACAACTTTTCTTCTATGAAGCCTATAAAATTAAAATATAGCTGTACGTTTTGTTTTTGTTTTAAAACTGTCAATGTCAAAATGTCGTAAATGTCACAAATCTGTATAATATGTATATAATATCACAAATCTTAATAAAAAGTTTCTGTTACCTAAAAACAATGAATTTGGTAAAAAATATACTGTCGCAAATGTCAAAAACCTGTATAAAACGTATAAAACTGACAAATATTCCTTTAAACAAAGTGGAGTTGGTATCAAATAATGTCTATTAAAATAGAATGGTGATTTCTGATCTATTTATGTTGTAAAAATGCAAAACATCAAAATGTCGTAAATGTCAAAAACGTATAAAGCTGTATCCGCTCATTGAAAATCGAGTGTAATGGACCTGAACATATATCATATTGAATTCAGAAGGTTTTTTGTTATATTATAGCTGTAAAAATACAAAGTCGTAAATGTCACAACCCTGTATAAAACGTATAAAAGAGAAAAATATTGCTTAAAACAGCGCCAAGTTTTTATCAATTGATGTTTATAAAATTAAAATGATAATTTATAGTTTATTTCTGTTGTAAAAATGCAAAACATCAAATGGCGCAAGTGTCAAAAACCTGTTTAAAACGTATAAAACTGTTTCCGCACTTTAAACATCGAGTATTATGGGCCTCAATATGCATACTTTTTTATAAATAAGTTTTTTTTGATATTGTATCTGTAAAATTGTAATGTCGTAAATGTCACAAACCTGTAGAAAACGTGTAAAACAGACAAATATAGCTTAAAACAGAGTGAAGTTGGTATCAAATGATGCCTATAAAATTAGAATGATGATTTATGGTTTAATTCCGACCTAAACATTTAAGTGTCGTAAATGTCAAAAACCTGTTTAAAACGTATAAAACTGTCTCCGCTCAATAAAATTCGTGTGTAATGGGCCCCAGCATATATCAAAGGGAATAGAGAGGATTTTTGTGATGTTTTATTTGTAAAATTGCAATGTCAAAAATGTCACAAACTTGTATAAAACATATAAAACGATGAACGCCTAATGGAAACCGAGTGTAATGGACCTCATCATATATTATATAGAATATAGAAGGTTTTGGTAATGTCTTAGCTGTACAATTGTAATGTCCTAAATGTCATAAACCTGTATAAAACGTATAGAATCGACAAATGCCAGTTGAAAAAGAAAAGTCATTCTTAAAAAATCCACAGTTGGTCTCAAGTGATGTCTATAAATTTAGAATGATTGTGTGTTTTGTTTTTGTTGTAAAACTTCTAAAAGGCGGAATTTCGTGAATGTCACAAACCGGTATAATATGTACATAACGTCACAAAACCTTATAAAATTGTAATATTACTTTAAAAGCTGTAAATTTAATAAAATATACAACTGTCGTGGATGTCGTAAACATGTATAAAAAGTATAAAACCGGCACATTATTGGTTAAAATAGATAGCAATTAGTCTCAAATGATGTGTATGATAATAGAATGATGATGTGTGTGCACTTTTTTTAACTGCTTAAAATGAGAATGTCGTAAATGTCAAAAACTTGTATAATGTGTATATAATGTCACAAATCCCAATATAATTTTTAGTATGAATAAAATTTGAATTTTTTTATAAATTTAGCTGTCGTGAATGTCGTAAACCTGTATAAAACGTATAACACCGGCATATGTGGGTTAAAATAGAATGCTATTGATATGACCTAATGTGTATCAGATTAGAATGATCATGTGTTTTGGTTTTGTTGTATAAAACGTCTGAAATCGAAATGTCGAAAATGTCACAAACCTGTGTAATATTTATATGGCGTTATGAAGCAAAAATATGAAGTATGTAGATCCTAAAAAATCAAAAATATTCCTCAAAACCCACGTTTGGCCCTTGAAAAAATATTCCTAAAAATCCGGATCTTGAAAAAATATGGTCAAAAAAAATCCACGTTTGTTGTTCATTTAAAAATGTTTCCTAAAAAAATCGGGCCTTAAAAAAATATTCTCAAAAAATCCACGTTTGGACCTTGAAAAAAATATTCTTAAAAAATTCGGAACTTGAAAAAATGTTCTCAAAAAATCCACTTTGTTGCTCATTGAAAAAATTTTCCTAAAAAAACCCAAGCCTGGACCTTGAAAAATATTCTAAATATTCCAGGTTTCGACATTGAAAAAATATTTTTAAAAAATCTACGTTTGTTGCTCATTTAAAAAAATATTCTGGACCTGGACCTTGAAAAATATTCTTAAAAAATCCACGTTTTTCGACCTTAAAAAAATATTCTTAAAAATCCACGTTTCGACTTTGAAAAAATATTTTTAAAAAATCTACGTTTGTTGCTCATTAATAAAAATATTCTTAAAAAATCCAAGTTTCGACCTTGAAAAAATATTCTTAAAAAAATCCACGCCTGGACCTTGAAAAATATTCTTAAAAAAAATCCACGCCTGGACCTTGAAAAATATTCTTAAAAAAAATCCACGCCTGGACCTTGAAAAAATATTCTTAAAAAAATCCACGTCTGGACCTTGAAAAATATTCTTAAAAAAATCCACGTGTGGACCTTGAAAAAATATTCTCAAAAAAATCCACGCCTGGGCCTTGAAAAAATATTTTTAAAAAATCCACGTTTGGACCTTGAAAAAATATTTTTAAAAAAATCCACGTTTGGACCTTGAAAAAATATTTTTAAAAAAATCCACATTTGGACCATGAAAAAATATTTTTAAAAAAATCCAAGTTTGGACCTTGAAAAAATATTTTAAAAAAAAATCCACGTTTGGACCTTGAAAAAATATTTTTAAAAAATACACGTTTGGATCTTAAAAAAATCCACGTTTGGACCTTGAAAAAATATTTTTAAAAAAATCCAAGTTTGGACCTTGAAAAAATATTTTTAAAAAAAATCCACATTTGGCCCTTGAAAAATATTTTAAAAAAATCCACGTTTGGACCTTGAAAAAATATTTTTAAAAAATACACGTTTGGATCTTAAAAAAATCCACGTTTGGACCTTGAAAAAATATTTTTAAAAAAATCCAAGTTTGGACCTTGAAAAAATATTTTTAAAAAAATCCACGTTTGGACCTTGAAAAAATATTCTTATTCCACATTTGGCCCTTAAAAAAATAGTGTTAAAAAATCTACGCTTGATCGTATCGTTATTTGTTCTTAAAACCCCATATTTGTGGTTCATAAGGTCTTCAAAAAATATTGTAAATAATCCAAAATCCTTCCAAAAATATTTTTTTGAATCTAAGTTCCTCAGTTCAGTTAGTCCTTGAAAAAAATTATAAAAATCCTCGTTTGATCTTCTGAAAAAATATTCTTGAAAAGTCAACGTTTCTTGTTGAGAAAAAAAAAAAAATAGTTTAAATGAATGCGATTAAAGCTTTTTTATTGTTAAAAATTTATAATTTTTTAGAATATTTGTTGTTGTATACTTTTGACATTTTGAGATGATCTCAATAAAAATAATGATGATGATGACTATGGTCTTCAACGCAATTTGTTGTTCATTCAACCAGCAAAACGCACAACATTTTATACCGTGACCACCGACAGGCAGACAAACAGACCCACTCTGGCCCTCAATGACAGCTGGCAATCTGTTTGTCTGTCCGGCTGTCTATTATTCATTGTAGAAATGTTTCGGCCGGCTAGGCGAGTCATTCATTCAGCTAGTTTTGCAGATCATTTTAATCATTGCTCTATTTTTAATTCAAATATTTTATTGTTTTCTTACCCCCTCTCTCTCTCTCTTTCTCTCCTTCTCGTTTCATGTTTCATCTTTTGGCTGTTGTTTGCACACGCAATTTGTGTGCCTCACCAGGATGTACCAATTAAGCGCACCGATTCATCACAGTGGTGGGAACTATTCGATACAAATACGCAACGCTTCTATTACTACAATGCTGCCTCCCAGAAAACGGTCTGGCACCGGCCGAGCAAATGTGACATCATACCGCTGGCCAAACTGCAAACGCTTAAACAGAACACCGATCCCAGTGATCGGCGAGAGATTAGCACACAAACGCAACAACTGCAGCAAATGCATCATCAGCAGCAGCAACAGCATTCATCGCAACATTCATCACCCTCCATGCCCAAAGTCCGTTCCGCATCTCAACGTGGCTCCAGCAGCAGTAGTCATCATTTAACGCCCAACAGCAATACCAATACCACAGGCAGTACGGGGAGCAATCGTGAAGTTGGCGTCGGCGGAGGAGGAGGTGGTACGAATAAACGCAGCAGTGCCGGTTTACCATTGCATGCCAGCTCTGAGGAGAAACTTTCCAGCGATCTACTCTCAAGTCCACGTGGGCGTCAAAGTTTTCGGTATGTACCCCCTCTTCCCCCCACCATTTGTGTGGTCATTAGATACTTAGATAGATGCCAACCACCAGCAGTTGGTTTTGCGGCTAACCGACCACAGTCGCTCAATCGTTTATTATTCACATTTATGTTTGGTCATTTATTTTTTGTTGTTGCTGGGTTTTTGTTTTCAAGTATCTTTTTTGGCTTTTGTGGTTTGTTTATGTTTGAAATACTTGGAGTGATGCTGTTCACTGCAAATGACAGTGGGTGTCAAATGTTACAGAAGAAAATCGCTCTTATCTTTTTTTTGTTTAAAAATATAAAGAAATCAAATTATGTAGTTTAAAAATGACAAACAAAAGCATGGGAATTTAAAACTTGGAATATTCAATTAGAAAAAAATTACAAGCCGCCTGGGAATTAAGTTAAGAGGTCAAGAAACGATACGGAATTTTAGAAATTATTTTAAGAAAATATTTAAAAAAAATCCAAAATCAGTCGCTGGAAAAAATATTTCCAAAAAAATCTAGAACTGGTTGTCGCAGGAAATAAGTTTTTTTAATTTCAGGATAAAGTAATTTTAGAAAAAATATTTAATAATATTTACAATATATTTTAGAAAAAATATCGATCAGATCGCCCCAGAAAAAAATTGAAACAAGTTGAAACAGTCGGTTTTGTCGACAGATGTATCCCCTCAGCCACTTTTCTTTTTTATACCCTACACCACATAGTGGTAAGGGTATTATGTCCCTGTGCATTTGTTTGTAACATGAGAGAAGGAGGCGAGACAGACCCTTAGTAACTTTTGAGGATCTCCATAGAATCACATTTTGAGTCGATTTATGCATGTCCGTCCGTCCGTCTGTCCATGTATTTTTGTAAACAAAGTACAGTTCGCATTTATTGCCCGATCCAGATGAAATTTTGCACAAATCATTTGTTTGGCCCATGGACGAACCCTATTGATAATCGGTAAAAAATTAGATATATATTTTCGTCCGATTTACCTTTTATTGTGCACCAAACGTGTAATATCAGCCCGAATAGTATAGAATTTTGCACATACAACCAAATTAGTAAGTATGCCAAATCAGAAATCGGTTCAGATATAGCTATAACTCCCATATATATATATTGTTCATCCGATTTGTTATTTTAGTCCTACGCAGCCGTAATATGCACTCTGTAACAACAATATTTGGGGAAATATATCAAATGCAGCTCAGAAATACCTTTGGAAAATTTTATCGAGATCGGTTCAGATTTGGATATAGCTTCCATATATTTTTACTCAAATATTTACTCAAATGGGATGAAATTTGGCACATACGACCGAATTGAAAGCTAGTATGCCAAATTTGGTGAAGATCGGTTCAGATATAGCTATAGCTCCCATATATATTGTTCATCCGATTTGTTACCCACAGCCGTAATATGCACTCCGTAACAACGATATTCAGGGAAATATTTCAAATACAACTCAGAAATATCTTTGCCAAATTTTATCGAGATCGGTTCAGATTTGGATATAGTTCCCATGTATAACTTCGTCCGATTTACCTTTTATTGTGCACCAAACTTCTAATATTTGCCCAAATGGGATGAAATTTGGCACATACGACCGAATTGAAAGCTAGTATGCCAAATTTGGTGAAGATCGGTTCAGATATAGCTATAGCTCCCATATATATTGTTCATCCGATTTGTTACCCACAGCCGTAATATGCACTCCGTAACAACGATATTCAGGGAAATATATCAAATACAGCTCAGAAATATCTTTGCCAAATTTTATCGAGATCGGTTCAGATTTGGATATAGCTCCCATATATATCTTTATCTGATTTCAAATTAATTTTGCACCAAATGGACAATACAAGTCCGAATTTAAAAGATACAAATGCTTCGGCATATTTAGTCCTTTGAACTTTAAATTATATTTATAATCATAGCGTGTATGATTGAATTCTCCCATAAAAACTTTTAATTTTTATGCGGAGCTCTACTAAATTAGCTAAGTGGTGTAGGGTGTCATAAAGTCGGCCCCGCCCGACATTAGGACTTTCTTTACTGTTTTTTTTTTAATTTCAGGATAAAATAAATCTAGAAAAATATTTAATAGTATTTATAATATATTTTAGAAAAATATCTCGATTAGATCACCTCAGAAAAAAATTGAAACAAGTTAAAAAGTATCTGTCGGTTTCGTCGACAGATCTCAGGTCACCAGTTTTAAAAGAATCGCGGACTTGTTTCACAAATAAAAAATTAAAATTAATTTTGAAAATCGTTACCCTTTGTGTGGAAGATACAAGAAGGGGTTGGCCGATATCCATCAACGACCCTCCAAATCTTTCATAAAAAAAAATAATGGGATGTGGGAAATTTGAATAGAATCGAGTGCTTATTTTGCAAATTATAAGATATATACCATCTTCCCACCAGGTCTTGTGTTGGTAGAAATATTGGGATGTACCAAATTAACCGGATTGTCATTTCGAGTCTTTTAAGCTTTATAGTTATAAAAAAAAATTGACCACCTTGTGGGGCATATACCAGAAGGAGTGGATCGATAAATCCCATCTTCACACCTGTACAAATATTGAGATGTGTTAATTTAAAGAGAATTTAATGCATATTTCGCAAATTATATGAGATATTAAAAATCACAATTTTGACCCTTTAAGTGGGAGGTACATGATGGAGCGGAGGGTCGATATTGTCCATTTTCGCACCTGACATAGCAATAATACAAATATTGGGATTTGCAAAGTTTGAACAAAATTGGATTATCCGCTTTTGTTGTAAACGGAAAATTATTTTCTGTGAAAATGTTGACCCTTTGTGGGGGAGGTACCAGAAGGAGTTGACCTATATTGCCCATCTCCAGACTCGATTTAAGTTTTAAAATAATATTACGATCAGACTAGGTACTGAATGGAATCGGATGTTATTTACGCGTTTTATGAACTTCATGGGTATTAAAAATTTTGAAATTTTTTGAAATGTGTGCTATAATTGAACGAAAAGTACTAAATAGTATTAAATTAGATTTTGGGTGAAGGGTTTGAGCTGGAATCCTGAAATTGGATGTATTGAAGTCCCTGTTGGCATCTGACATTGAGAAATTGAGTTGGTTTGGGAAATGTGTACTATAATTGTAATAAAAGTACTAAATTGTACTAAATTTTGTATTGAATTAAGTAATAGGGCTGGAATCCTCAAATTTGATATGGATATCTCTGTTGATATATGGAATTGAGATATTGAGGTGGTTTTGCAAATGTGTACTATAATTGTACGAAAGTACTTTATAGTACTAAATTTTGTTATTGGGTGAAGCGACAGTACTTAATTCTTCGTGCTAAATGTTGAGAGTTATCGTGCGAATCAGCCAGACGGACGGACGGACGTACACCTCTAGAGACCTATTTCGTTTCAATATTTACTACCCGTACAGACTGACGGACACACCTAGATCTACTTCAACTGCCTGGAAATGGACTTTGTCAAAATAGACCCATGGTCTAAAATCGTTATTTCGATAAGACACGTTTTGGTCGTATCAAGCGATATATATCCACCGGGAGCCATATGGCTGAGAGTATAAAAATATACGTTTAGATATTCAAAAAAAAAATATATATTTTTTTTTTTTTTTTTGAAAACCGAAGTTTGTATATTTTTCAATAAATATTTTAAAAAAATCCACGTTTGGATTTTTTTTCAAAATCCCCTTTTAATAGTTTTTGACAAAAAATGTTTAAAAAAAAAATACCCCAATCAATAATCCTTTTCGAAAACAATTTTCAAATATTATTCATGAACAAGTAAATATTTACAACTATTTGAAGATTGTTTTCGAAAAGGACTATTAATTGGGGGATTTTTTAAAACATTTTTTTTTGTCAAAGAAAGGGGTTATTTTTTTTAAAGATTTGTTTGAAAAAAAAAAAACGGAATTTTCTTTTTTTTTAATAAATCTTGTATTTATTGTTAATGATCTATATATATGTATATAAGCTGTTTTCGAAAAGGACTATTAATTGGCGATTTTTTAAAAAATATTTTTTTTTTTTTGTCAAAGAAAAAGGGGTATTTTTTAAAGATTTCTTTGAAAGAAAATCGAAAAGTTTTTTTTTCAAATAAATCTTGTATTTATTGTTAATGATCTATATATGTATATTCGCTATGTAAATTACCCTCATTAGAATTGACCATAAATAGAAAATTTTTATGGATTTCACCACCACCGGCCATTTCCATTTGTTTGTTCATTAAAAATATTTTTCTTTTATTTGTTTTGCAAACTGATCTCGATATCTTTTCAATTTTCATTTGTTTATTATTAATTGTTTTTGTATTTGCCTTCGTTATATTCTTAACTTTTACTAATTGTTGTTGTTGTTGCTTCGTCTTTCTTTCTTTCATGTTCCAGCGTTGGCACGGGTGATTCATCACGTTCCATGGATATTCAACACATTTCGACATCATCAAGACGTTCACAAGGTATGTATCGGATTGAGTAGTTGGCCAGCCGGCATCTTCCAGTTGAGATATACATATGAATGTATGTTTGTTTGTTACGCCCGGCAAATTGTGCTGGTGTGCAAATTTCTTTGAAGATGCAAAATATTCAACCGAATCAATTTTTATTTGTGGGTGCCGGCTGAATTCTTGTTTTTTGTTTGGCAATAATAGCCGAAAAACAAATATTCCACTTCAAAAAGCCATGGGATGATTTAGCCACAGTTATGGATAAATTATCCAAAGATGAGGAAATTTTATTCCCAGAAAAATATATTTTTAAAAAATTCTCAAAAATATTTTATCCCCTAATTGGGACTTATTTGTCCCTAAATATTATTCCCAAAAAGTATAATTTTTTTCCGAATATAAATTTCAAATCTCCCATAGTCATATTTTTAATCTCCCCCCTTTCCCACATTTCTTCTTCCAGACTCGTATAACCATTTCAAAGAATCTGGCAAATCGAGTGATTCTAGTCTCTCCAGCATGCATGGCTATCGACGATTCAATGACGACCAAATGACCGGCGGTGGTGGCAGTCCAGCAGGTATGGCTAGTCCAAGCGAAAGTCTACGCATTGGCTCACTGCAAAAGCATCGTAGCCGCAAGGAGGGCAGTGGAAGGTAAGTATGCCAAACAATAAATATAATCTCCGACTAATTCCTTACCCTATTGTTTTCGTTTTTTACTGTTCTAGTTTCGATATGTTGCAAGAGAGCATGAGCTCGCATAATATACCCCATATCGGTAGCAGTGCTCAACAGCGTCAGCAACAATACCACCACAGCAGTCGATCAAATGAAATGGGTTCACCAACAATGCATAGCAGCAGTTCATCGGCGGCCGGAGTGACACAAAATAAAAAGAAAATCTCACCGGATGCTCATCATTTGCAACAGCAGCAGCAGCAGTATCCCTCATCGCCGTTGTCATTTAATTCACAGCAACGTGGTGGTGGAGGTGGCAGCAATACGGGTAGTATCACCAGCAAATCATCCTCAACAAGGGCCATGGAATACGGAGGAAGTGGTAAGATCAAGACAAGATTTTCCAAAATCCTACTTTCAAAGTCTAAACAATTACCCTTCCCCTTTCAGAACGTGAACGTGACTACAAGGTGGCTTTGGCCAGATCGGGCAGCTTCATGTCCTCATCCATTAATCCCTCAGCTGCTGGCCATCACAGTAAATCATATCGCCGTTCGGCTGCCGAGGCTAATGGCACCGCGACCCACATGGGTGTTTCACCAGTTGTTGCAGGCCCAAGTGCTGGTGGTGGTGGTGGTAATGCTGGCAATGGAGGAGCGGCCAGTGATGATTCCATGCATGAAAAATATTTCAAATCTGTGGAAAATACGCCACTCTCACGCCGTCGCCACACTACCACCACCAAAAGTTCCAGTGGTGCGGCCAGTGCCAGCAGTGGTCATGGCACTGGCGGTAGTGCTGGCAGCAATATGAAACATTCTAGTGATTCATCGCCCCAAAGTCCCATTAGTCCTCACAACAACAAGAACAAACCCCTGAAGGTTGGCAGTAATATTATGACAGCAGCACCCATGCTACATTCACCCGGTGGCCATTCAACGTGTTCGGGGCCACCACCAACCACATCATCTAGTCATGCCCACTATAAACAGGATTCTTCATGCAGTTTGGAACTGCTGAATTTGGATCGTCTCTCGTTGCGAGAAGGTGGTGGCAGTAGCTCGAACAAGACAACATCGCCACATTTGAGCGACATTACCGGACATGTTTCCTCGAATAATATGACCTCGAAAAATTTCCCCTCCTCGGATAATATCGGCATGATGACGCACTCTTCGAGGGGCTCGAATGATTCGAGGGGTAAACATAAAACCGCCTCGAATACCGGTTCATGGTCGCAGCATCAGGATAATCATCGTGGTGCTAATCGTCATAATTCCATGAGTTTGGTAGGTGACATAGAAAAATTTCCTTTTTTATTTTTTTTTTTAATCCGAGAACTATCAGATTTTCTTTTAAAGCAAAGTGATGGTTCTCGAATTTTGAAAAAAAAAAAAAAAAAAATAAAAAGTTCGACAATTCAATTATTTCATTTTCGTAAAGTTAAACCTAACACCTTCAAAATTTTGTAAAAAAGAACGCATCTTGTTCGGATATATTTCAAAAATAGTTTAGGAAAGCCTATAATGCTTATCTGAAGAACCTTGAAAATATTTTTAAATGTTCCATTTTGTTCACGAACAGCCTTCGAAAAATATTCTTCAAGATCCAAATTTGTGACTCGTTAAGTCTTTGAAGACATGTTTGGCCCCTAAAAATTATTTTTAAAATTCCACGTTTGAGGTTTGCTTCTTCCTTCTTAAAAAATCCATATTTGTGACTCGACTTACCTTTGAAAAAATATCTAAATTTATGGATCTTAAAATATATTTATAAAAACCCACAAGGGGCTTAAAAAATATTCTCAAAATAAAAAAGTTTGTGGCTCGCTGGATCCTTTTTAAAAAAAATCCACCTTTCTGACAAAATTTGTCAGTTAAAATGTATTCTTAAAATTATGAATCTAGTGGCTTGGATACTCCCTCAAAACACTCTTTTATATTCCGCATTTGTAGCACGGTTGAGCGTTCCAAAAAATATTTAAAAAAACGTCCAAGTTTGGCACTCCGTAAAATATTTTTAAAAATTCCTCGTTCTGCGGCACGTTTGGTCCTTGGTAAAAATTTTCTTAAAAGATCCAAGATTGAGACTTGGTTGGTGTCTCAAAATATATCCTTAAAAACCCAAGTTTGTAACTCCTTTTGGTCCATCAAAAAATTCGCTTCTGAGGATCGGCTAGTCATTCTTCTGATTCATTCTTAAAAATTTACGCATATGGCTCGGTTTTGTTCTTCTTATGGCACTTGAAAAAATATACTTCCAAGACCTCCTTTGTGTCCTTCTTAAAAATATACGCTTAAAGCTAGGTTGGTTGGTCCTTCTTGAGGATCCACGTTTGAGCTCAGTAGGTCCTCCTTTAGCTCTTGAAGAAATATTCTTCAAAATTCAGGTTTGAGACATGATTGATCCTTTTTCAAAAATCCAAGTTTGTGGGTCGATTGGTCCTTCTTATAGCTCTTGAAAAAATTTTCTTAAAAATTCAGGTTTGAGACATGATTGAGGCTTTTTCAAATATCCAAGTTTTGTGACTCGGTTGGTTCTTTTAGTGACTCTTAAAAAATAATCTTTAATATAAGCATCTTAACTCCTTTGGTCCTTCTTAAAAATACACATTTGAGTCTAGGCTTGAAATACTTGAAGATCCACTTTTGAGGCTCCGTTTATTCTTCTTTTAGATCCATATTTTAGGCTTGGTAGATCCTTCAAACTTTGAGGCCCTTATGGTTCGTCAAAAAATGTTCAAAAAACCTTTTTTCCACCGTTTAAAGGCTTCTTTGGTCCTATTTAAAATCAATGTTTGAAGCTCGGTCGATTCTTCTTATAAATCCAGGGTAGATTCCTGGTTGGTCCCTTAACAAAATACATTAAAGAATCCAAGTTTAAGACCTTTTTGGTTCTTCAAAAGATACTCTTGAAAAACCTCTTTCAATGTCTTTTAGTTCAAAAAAAATCCACGTTGGGTTATTGTTTGTGACTCGGTTTTCTTAAAAAATCCAAGCTCAAGGCTCTCTTAAAAAGTTCAGATTGGATGGTCCCGTTAAAAAATGTTCCTAAATAATACACGTTGGATAGACTTTTGTTTCTTGATTCTGATCCACATTTGATCGTCTGTTGATGCCTTAAAAAATGTTCTTAAATAAACCACTTTTGATAGTCTGTTGCTTCTTGAAAATATGTTCTTCAAAAACCCAAATTCGATGACTTGTTGGGCCTTCAAAAATACGCTGTGGATCCTTAAAAAATTATCTTAAAAATCTACATTTGATAGTAGGTGGACCCTTCAAAAAATATCTTTAAAAATCCACATTTGTGCCGCGGTTGGACCCCGAAAAAAGTTTTTTTTTTTTAAATCTTTGTTGGGTGATCTGTTGGTTTTTTAAAAAAATATTCTTACAAAAATCAAGTCTGAGGCTCGGTTGATCCTTGAAAAAATATTCTTCAAAGATCCACATTTAATGGTCCGTTTGTTTGAAAATAAAAATCCTAAAAAATCCATTTTGCAGGGTGGTCCTTTGGTCCTTCCAAAATATTGTTAAAAACCATGTTTGAGGCTTCGTTGTTAAAAATCAAATTTGGATGGTCCTTGAAAAAAGAAATCTGAAATATCTACAAAAATCCAAATTCTATGGTCTGTTGGTCCTGGAAAAAACATTTTTCAAACATTTTTTGGACCTTTCGAAATATTCATCAAATATCCAATATTTTCCCCCTGTTATTCCTTGAAAAAATTCATATTCATCATTCGTTGACAAAATACATTTCAAATGTTCATATTTGAGGGTCTGTTGATCCTTTCAAAATATTCTCAAAAATCCACATTTGTGGCTCAATTATTTATTGGAAAATATTCTTAAAATGTACATGTTAGAGGGTTAGTTGTTAAAAGAATCAGTTTCCTCTCATTTGGTTCTTAAAAATATTTTTTTGTTTAAATATTCAGAAAATCTTTAATTTTGAATCTGCTACTCCAGGAGTCAAATAAGTCAATTGCCCAGAAATCTGCTAGTGTCTCTACATTCTGCTTGTCATTAATTTAAAATTTCTTTTTACAGGACAAACACTCAAGACATTCTAATGATTATTATCATCAGGATAATAAACGTGATACCCGTAAAGCCAAAGAAAGACACAATCACTTGCATGCGGACAACAGTGATGTGGAATATGATAATGGTAACATTTCACCGTTGTATAGTAACTGGGATACGGTAAGTCCTAACAAATATTCTTTCAATTATTTAAATGTTGATATTTCCCTCTATCTTCTATTGTTTTATACAGGAAATGCAGGAACATTTACTGCCTTTAAAACACTACATTCTCGAACAGGCCAAACTATCGGGACGTTATGTATTCGGTGATCCCATCGATTCGGATTCCTATCATTCGGACAGTCAATCGGAACAGTCATTGTCTGGCCATGAACCAGACAATGAAGATTCCGATGGTGGTTCGGATACGCATGGTGGTTATTTGGAGCACAATTATGGTATGATAGAAGACTATGCTAATATGGGCGATAGTGTATCATATTATGCTTATCAATATCCTCCATATGATCCAGCAGCTAGAGAGGAAATGTAAGTAGACCCCCAACAAAAAAAAAAAAAAAAAGACAGCCGTTAAATAATTGAATCTGTTTTTGTTTTGCAAAATAGCTCCGATAATGTTGAGGCCGTATTGGAAGGTGTGGGTTCCGGTGTTGGTGGTAATAGTGAACAAAAATCCAAATCAAATCGTTATCAATTCTCATATTATGATACCGCCACCACACATACACCATCTACCCTCAATCATCAACAACAGCAACAACAACAATCGCATCATCAACAGCAACACTCCTCCTCATCGCAGTCAACAACAACAGCACAATCAACACTACCACCACAACAACTCTACTCAAATGCTCCACCCCTACCACCCGGTCATCCTTCCTCGTCAGCCTCTCATCATCATTTGCAATTGGACAGCGGTGAAAAAACGAAACAATCACAAACATTGCCCTCACCAAATCGCCAAATATCTCGCATTGCTCAAAATTCCCAAGACAGTGGCACTGGCATTGGTGGCCGTCTGCCAATGCCACCGCCACATCAATATGGTCGCGATGACAGCGTCTCGAATATAATGGGCGGCATGGGAGGCGTTGGTGGTAGTATGATGCGTCGTCCCTTGCCACCACCAAATCTCAAGCCCACAATACAACAAATCTTTCCACCAACGGAACGTCCGCCACCGGGAATTGGCGGCAGCGGTGGCGGCCTAACAACGTTGGCGTGCATGAAGGAATGTGATATTGAAAAGTTTGCAGCGGATAATTTGAATTTACACTCGAAGGGTATTTTTCGCAAAAAGGTGAGTTGTGAGGGGAAGAGATTTAAAAATATTGAAGTTTAAGACCCTATTGGTCTTGGAAAATTTGTTTTTACAAAATTCAAGTTATGAGGTCCTTTTGTCTCTTAAAAAATATTTTTAAAAATTGAATTCGTGACCCTGTGGTTCCTTGAAAAGCTTTTCCTAACTACTTGAAGTTTTATGAATCTGTTTCTGAATTCTTTAAAAAAATTCTTAAATTATCCACGTTTGTGGCTCTATTTGTCCTTCAAAATGTTCATTAAAATTCTACGATTGTGCATCTGTTGGTTGTCCAAAAATTGTTTAAACAAGTTAAAAAGCATCAGGGGAAGTACCAGAAGGAGTGGGCCGATATATTCCATCTTAACTCTAGACCTTGGGTTAATAAAATTATTGGGATGTGTGAAATTTGAAAACAATCGGACTCTTACATCACATTCTATAAGAGTTGTAATTATTCAAAATGTTGGCCCTTTGTGGGGGATGTACCAGAAGGAGTGAACCGATATATCCCGTTTTCGCACCTAACGTAGCCTTGATACATATATTGGAATTTGCAAAGTTGGAGCAAAATCAGACTATCCTTTCTCTTTCTGCGCAGTATTTTCTTGGAATATATTGATATTTTGTGGGAGAGGTACCAGAAGGAGTGGACCGATATTGTCCATCTCTGAACTCGATTTAAGTTTGACAAAAAATATTACGATGTACCAAGTTTGGATCAAATCGGATCCTGCCTTTGAGACTTATCGTACTCATCAGCCAGCCTGACAGACGGACATCGCTAGATCGACTCCTAATGTCCTGAAACGGATTTGGTCAAAAGAGACTTAGTATCAAATGATATATACCCTCTGTAGCCATATAATAGACAGGTATTAAATGTTAAAAAAGGCACGTTTGTGGCTCTGTTGATCCTTGAAAAATATTTTTTCAAAAAAAAAACCCATGATAGTCGTTTGCGTCTTAAAAAAATTGTTTAAAAAATCCAGTGGCTCTGTCGGTCCTTGATCAGTTTTTCCTTGAAATATTATTTAAAAATCCAATAAATAAATTGTTTAAAAAATCCACCTTTGAGGCTTGAAGAATATTCATTCAAAATCCCCGTTTTACGGTTTTATTTAAAAATCCACGTTTGGCCTGTTGGATTCTTGAAGGAAATTCATTAAAAATCTACGTTTGATGTCATGTTTCGTCCTTAAAGAAAATTCATTCAAAATCCATGTTTGATGGTCAGTTGTTCCTTCAAAAAATATTATTTAAAAATCGAAAAAAATGTTTGAAAAATCCTCCTTTGTGGCTCTGTTGATCCTTGTAGAATACTTATTCAAAATCCATGTTTGATGGTCAGTTGTTCCTTGAAAAAATAATATTTAAAAATTCACGTTTAATGGTCTGTTGGTCCTTGAAGGATATTCATTTAAAATCCATGTTTGATGGCCAGTTGGTCCTTGAAGGATATTCATTTAAAATCCATATTTGATGGTCAGCTGTTCCACGAAAAAATATTATTTAAAAATCCACGTTTGATGGCCTGTTTGGTCCTAGAAGAAAATTCATTCAAAATCCAATAAAAAATTGTTTAATAAAATCCATCTGTTGATCGTTGAAGCATATTCATTCAAAATCCATGTTTGATGGTCAGTTGTTCCTCGAAAAAATATTATTTAAAAATCAGCGTTTGATGGGCTGTTTGGTCCTTGAAGAAATTTATTCAAAATCCATGTTCGATGGTCAGTTGTTCCTCAAAAAAAAGTTATTTAAAAATCCTCGTTTGATGGCCTGTTTGTTCCTTGAAGAATATTAATTCAAAATCCATGTTTGATGGTCAGTTGTTCCTCGAAAAAATATTATTTAAAAATCTGCGTTTGATGGGCTGTTTGGTCCTTGAAGAAATTTCATTCAAAATCCATGTTCGATGGTCAGTTGTTCCTCGAAAAAATATTATTTAAAAATCCTCGTTTGATGGCCTGTTTGTTCCTTGAAGAATATTATTCAAAAATCCATGTTTGATGGCCTGTTGGTCCTTGTAAAAATATTATATTAAAATTCACGATTAATGGCCTGTAGGTCCTTGGAAAAATATTATTTTAAAATTCACCATTGTGGCTCTGTTAGTCCAAAAATGAATAAGACTTTATGAATCCTTCGTGGCTTCCTGGGTCCTTAAAAAATATTATTTAAAAATTCAAATATGTGACTCCATTGGTTTTTAAAAGAAATTGGCTAAAATTCCATATTTTTGCCATTGTAGGCCCACACATTTGAAACTGTTGGTCCTTAAAAAAAATATTCTTTTAGAATCCATGTTGTATGTTCCGTTTTCTGAGTATCCTATGGTGATATTTTAGCTACCCTTAATCTATTTGATTTTTAATGAATTTATTTTGTTTTTCCTTCCAGTCTTCCGTACGCGATATGCTAAGCTGGACAGCTGAGGCAATTAGCCGGCCCATGTTGGCTCTGTCCCGTGATAAAAACGATAAGAAAAATGCCATTGAAATGTTTAAGCTGGTGCAAATCTATATGGGCGATCGTAAGGCCAGGGCTGGGATGAGCCTAAATTCCGTGGCGATTGATATTATTTCAATAGCCCTACCGCAGCAACAGTGAGTTTTAAATTTTAAATTTCGCAACAATTTCTTTCAAAAATTCAATTTTTTTATTTCAGGCTAAGAGATGAATTGTATGTACAGTTATGCCGACAGACCACTGAAAATCCCAAACGTGATTCATTGATACGCGGCTGGGAACTGATGGCCGTATGCCTATCCTTTGTACCGCCATCGCCCACATTCCAGCCAACGTTGTTAAAGTAAATGTCTTCTTCTATTAATCGCTCATTTCATTTTCTAACTCATTCGGCTTTTTTGTGTCACTCTTATTTTAGTTATGTCAATCGTCATAGAGATCCCACATTTGCCACCTCCTTCCCGGAGGTGGGTAAATGGCCCATTCATGTTCAAATCTCACATTATGCCACTGTATGCTGTAGACGCTTAGATCGCATTGGTAGCCATGGTAGAAGGCAAGCTAAAAAGCCAACCGAAGATGAAGTGGAACAGGCTAGAGTAAGCATGCTTGATATAGTTTAGTTGGAGTAAGGGTTGGGAAATAAATTTACAATTTTTTGTCGTTTTTCTTTGCAGAATCAAATTCTACGCAATAGTATGTTCGGAAATACTCTGGAGGAGGTAATGCTGTTGCAAAAGGATAAATTTCCATTCCGTAAATTGCCATGGATACAGACCACATTGTCGGAGCATGTAAGTTAATTCCAGGGAGATACAACCTAGTTGTGTTCTAGCTTCATACATACTTCTTCTTTATTTTTATACCCTCAGCCATACAGGGTGAGATTAAAAAACTGCAACAAAGTCAAACGCCATCAATTTTAAACTTTTATACCCTCAGCCATATGGCTACAGAGGGTATATATCATTTGATACGGCCAAAACGTGCCATCGAAATAAAGGTTTTAGACCCTAGGTCTCTTTTCACCAAATCCGTTTCAGAATATTTGAAGTCGATCTAGCTTTGTCCGTCCGTCCGTCTGGCTGGCTGATTCGCTATATAACACTCGAAGGGAGTATCCGATTTGGTCCAAACTTGGAACATCGTAATATTTTTGCCAAATTTATATCGAGTTCGGAGATGGGCAATACCAGTCCACTCCTTCTGGTACCTTCCCCCACAAAAGGTCAAATTTTCAAAAAATATATTTTCTGCACAGAAGGAGGAACGATAATCCGATTTTGCTCCAACTTTACAAATCCTAATCTTTTCGTCAGTGCTACGTCAGGTGCGAAAATGGATAATATAGATCCACCCCATTAAGTACCTCCCCCACAAAGGGTCAATATTTTGAATAGTTGTAAGTCTTAAAAAATGTGATGTAAGAGTCCGGTTGTCTTCAAATTTCACACATTCCAATATTATTATTAATCCAATATCTGGTATGAAGATGGAATATATCGGTCCAGTCCTTCTGGTACCTCCCCCACAAAAGGGTACATTTTTTATATCCGTGAAGCTCATAAAACACGAAATTAATATCCGATTCCATTCAGACTTGGCACATCTTAGTATTTCCATAAACACAAGATCTGTAATAAATATGGTAGAGATCGGACCATTCCTTCAGGTACCTCCCCCACAAAGGGTCAAAGTTTTGAATAACCAAAACGATTATAAAATCCGAAATAAGCATTCGGTTCTCTTCATATTTCACACATCCCATTATTTCTACTAACACAAGATCTGCTGTGAAGATGGGATATATCGGTCCACTCCTTCTGGTACCTCCACCACAAAGGGTCAAACTTTTGAATATCCATGAAGCTGATAAAACGCAAAATTAACATTAGATTCCATTCAGATTTGGCAAATCTCAAAATTTCTATCAACATAACATCTTTTATAAAGATTGTAGAGATCGGACCACTTCTTCTGGTACCTCCCTCACGAAGGGTGAAAATTTCTATCAATTTATTTATTAAATAAAACCGAGGGCTTCATGTCCAATAATTAGTTTTAACATAACTCACATTTAACCTTATTAATATTTGCTATTTTATTTCATCTCTCTACATATTTAAAATACCTCTTTATCCCTCTTTCTAGGTCCTCCTGCTCAATGGCAAACAAACGGAAGGCATATTCCGTGTATCAGCCGATGTGGATGAAGTCAATTGTTTGAAGAATCGTTTAGATCGGTGGGAAGTTCCTGATTATAAAAATACTATGGGTATGTAATTTACTACATCATCATGTTGTCATATTTTCCTATAACGGGTTTTTGTTGTCCTTCATTCCTCCAGTTGATGCTCATGCTCCTGCTAGTCTATTAAAGCTGTGGTATCGCGAATTATACGATCCCCTTATACCCGATGAACTGTACGATGAATGTGTAAATACCGAAGATCCAGATAAAGCCAAAGCTATAGTTGATAAATTGCCAGAACTGAATAAGTTGGTAAGTTGAGAGAGTAAGACTAAGTAAATGGAGTTTCGCTGGTCAGTTAACAGGACTTCTATCCTATGTATTACAGGCCTTTTGAATAGTATTTAGTTCATAGAAGGCATTTTAAAAATGTTCTTTTCTTTGGAAGATGTGAACATAGTCTTCTATTTCTTAGAATTTCCACATTTGTGGCTCTGAGTGTATTCTAAAAATATTCATTAAAAATCCATGTTTGTAGCTTTGATGTTCTTCAAGAAGTACTGCCTAAAAATTTTTTGTTTTGTCCTAGAAGAATATTGTGGCTTTGTTGGTCCATGAAAACTATTCAATTAAAATCCACAAGAAGGAGAAAAAATTTTCTTAAAAAATCCATGATTTTTTCTCTGCAGTTTCAACATTTAATTAAAAATCCAAATATGGCTCTCAGTTGGTCCTTAAAAATTATAAACAATTATTTTTGGATGGATCTTTTTAAAAATATTTATTATAAATCCAACTTTGTGGCTTTGTGGACCCTTAAAGACAATTTCTTCAGATATCCGTACCAGTAACTGTGTGAACCCTTACAAATATCTTCACGTTTATGACTCTGTAGGTCCTTGAAGAAATATTATTTAAAAAATTCACGATTGTGGCTCTCTTGTTTCTCGAAAAACATTCCTTAAAAATCCATGGGAAAATGAAAACATTTTCTTAAAAAAAATCCTAATTATTTCTTTCTTCCAAATATTCTTTAAAAAATCAAGTGAAGTGTTCCATTGATCCTTAAAACTTATAAACAAATATTTTTGATGGATCCTTTTAAAAATATTTATTAAATAACCAATTTTGTGCCTCTGTGGCTGCTTAAAAACAAATATTCTTCAGAAATCCATGTATGGGTTCTTAAAAAATGGAAATAGAAGTTGTGTTTAAATATATTTTTCCTAAAAATTCTTGATATTTTTTTTTTAAAGCCCATTGAATTCTTACAAGAGTTTTTAAATGAATTTCTATCGATGTCTTTTGCTACACAGAAGAATCTTGAGTTCTCCAATCTCTAGAAGATTTGTTAAAGAGTTCTTCCTTTTGAATCCGGTTTGATGGGTTTTTCATCTATGGAAGACACTTTGAATGATTTTCCCATCTTTTTCGATCCCTTGAATGGTTTTTATATCCAGATAAGACCAGGTTAAAGTTATCCTATCCTAAAAAGCCATTAAGAAAGATTTTCTATCCAGCGAAGACCTCAAATTCCTTATGTCTAAATAACTCAAAAAGGTGTTTTATCTGGAAGGACTTCCGTCTGGAAACTTGTTTAAATTTCCTCCATCTTCAGAATTCTAAAAAGGGCTCATTCTATAGAAAATGTTCAAAATAAGATTTTGTTTACAGAAGAACTAACATAAGGTCTTTCTTGGAGAAAACCTAAAACCCTTTATGTCTAAAGAACTGTAAATGGTAGTCTATCTATGGAAATGTTTTTCGAAGAAGACCCATGAAAGATTTTTCATACGAAGAGGTCTAGTTTTCACAAAACCTCTCTTGAAGGTCTTCTACATAGAGAACTGCAAATGGTCTTCTATCTACATAAAACCAGTTAAATTGCCTTCCGTCTGGTATACTCTTCTTATTGTCTTCTATCTTTAGAACTTGGAAATGTCTTCTATCTATAGAACTCCGAAAGGTTTCCAATCTATTGAAGTTTTACGAAAGGTCCTTTTCCATGGAAGAACTATTAACTAAAATATTTTATCAAAGAAGACCCCTGAAAGATCTTTCCTACCAAGAGATGTTTAGTTTTCACAGAACCTCTATTGAAGGTCATCTACATGGAGGGCTTGTTGAAAAGTTCCTCTATAAAAAACACGTTGAAAATTTTTTCTACAGGATCTGCTGAAAGATTTTTCTGAAGCCCTGTTGAATAAATTTCTTTCAAGACAAAATTTTAAAGGTTCCATCCCCTTAAGACATTTTGCAGGATATTATATTTAAAAATCCACGTCCTTACCAAATAATCATTAAAAACCCATTTTTTATAGTCTTAAAAAAATATGTTTTAAAAAGTCCAAGTTTTTGGACCTTGAAAAAATATTCTGTAAAAAAATTTCACCTTTTTGTTAAATATATAAAAAATATTCAATAATAAAACCAAGTTTATTTGGTCCTTGAAAACATATTTTTTAAAAGCTCACCTTTATTCGATATTCAAAAAAATTACAAAAAAATTGCAAAATCTTTAATCTGTTGAACCGTCTTCCATTCAGGAATATTGAAAGTTTGATAATCCAAAGACAATCTCTTAAAATGTTTTCACCCCTTTTGAAAATTATCTTTCTTTGTCTGATTTTCTGACTGAATTTCTATAAATAAAAAACCGTTAAATAAACTTGAAAATATTTATTAAACCGTTTTTAAAATAAGGCTTTAACATTTTAGAATTCCTTTCAATTTGAATTTAAATATATTTCTACTTTTTCTTATTTTCCCTCCTTCTAGGTCCTAACCTATTTAATACATTTTCTGCAACAATTTTCCCATCCCGATGTGGTGAGTGCCACCAAAATGGATTCCTCCAATTTGGCCATGGTCTTTGCACCCAACTGTTTACGCTGTACATCCGATGATCCGAAGGTGATATTGGAGAATGCCCGCAAGGAGATGTCATTTATGCGCACATTAATACAACACATGGATACGTCCCATGTGGCCAATTTAGTGTAAATACTGTTAAAATTTTATAAAAAAAAAAAAAACTAATGAAAAAAAGATTTTTTCATGAGAAAAACAGGGAAAATCACATGAAAAAATTATAAACTGAGCTAAAATTGAAACCAAAGTATTTAGAAATGCAACAAAAAAGAAAAAACGAAACAAAAACACACACAAAAGAAACAATACTCGGATACAAGCAAAAGATAGATATATTCTGTACCAAATGTGTTGTACATGCATGTTTAGAAAAAACTATTTGAGAAAAAAAGAAAGAAAACAACAATAACAAAATTTATGCAGAACAATTAAAAAATGAAGAAGAAGAAATTTTATTAACACAAAAAACAGACAGCCGTGAAACATAGAACTCAAAACACTTATACACAAAAACTAATTTTACAATATCCTCCCCCCATTTAAACCTAAATTAAGAAACCTATTTTGCTAATCTAATATTCCAAAAAAATCATTTTTCTTTGCTGCCAACTAATTTTAAAGAAATTTGGGACTGATTTTTTTTGAAAATGCGGATGGAATTTTATTTATTTAATTTTTTTTGCTTTAAAATGTTTTTTTTTATATCTGTTACTTATTTAAGCTCTATTTTATTGTTTGTTTCAACATTGTTATTAAGTTCACACATTTCAAATTCAAAAAAACATTTTTAAGTTTTTAATTTTGTTATTAATTGTCCTTTAGTTGCTTTAAGTTAAAATGGAGCCTCTTTTTTTTAAAATCATGTTTTATATACAGTGTATTCTAGAACTATTTTATGTGTAAAATACTGCCACCCTATTTTTTCAGACACTTCTCAAATCAGTTTACTATCTCTCCTAAATATGACATGGACATTTTTAAAAGCCGATGAATCTTTATTGTTTCATAAGTAGATATTCAAATCAAAGAAGAAGCTGGGTTTTTATACCCCCGCGCATATGGCTAGAGAGGGTATATATCATTTGCTACGGCCAAAACGTGCCTCTTCAAAATAACGATTTTAGACCGTACGTCTCTTTGGATCAAATCCGTTTCAGGACATTTGGAGTCGATCTAGCGATGTCTGTCTGCCCATCCGTCCGTCTGCCTGGCTGGCTAGTTGGTGCTCATGATAACTCTCGAAGGTGGTATCCGATTTGGTCCAAACTTGGTACACCGTAATATTATTAGCAAACTTAGATCGAGTTCGTAGATGGGCAATATCAGTCCACTCCTTCTTGTACCTCCCCCACTAAAGGTAAACATTTTTCAAAAAAAAAATTGCTACACAGAAAGAGAAAGGATAATCCGATTTAGCTGCGACTTTGTAAATCCTAATATTTGCATTAGTGCTAGCTTAGGTGCTAAAATCGACAATATTGTTGCACTCCATCAAGTACCTCCCCCACAAAGGGTCAAAATTTTGAATAATTATAACTCTTATAAAATGTGATGTAAGTCTCCGATCGTCTTCAAATTACACACATCGAAATATTTTTATTAACCCAAGATCTGGTGTTAAGATGGAATATGTCGGTCCACTCCTTCTGGTACCTCCCCCACAGAGGGTCAAAATTTTGAATATCCTTGAAGTTCATAAAACGCGCAAGTATCCTCTGATTCCATTCAGACTTGGTAAATCTCAATATTTCCATCAACACTAGATCTGTTATAAAGATGGTAAAGATCGGACCATTTCTTCTGGTACCTCCCCCACAAAGGGTCAGATCATAAAATCCAAAAAAGGCATCGGATTCTCTTTATATTTCACACATAGTATTATTTCTACTAACAAAAATTATGCTGTGAAAATGGGATATATTGGTCCAATCCATCTGGTACCTTCCCCACAGAGGGTCAAAATTTTAAAAAGTCATGAAGCTCATAAACCGCGAAGTTAAGATCCGATTGTATTCAGACTTGCTACATCTCAATATTTCCATCAGCACAAGTTCCGTTATAAAGATTGTAGAGATCGTCCCATTCCTTCTGGTACCTCCCCCACAAAGGGTCGAAGTTTTGAATATCCATGATCCGCAAATGTGACCTCTGATTCCATTCAGACTTGGTACAACTCAATATTTCAATCAGCACAAGATCTGTTATGAAGATGGTTGAGATCGGACCATTTCTTCTGATACCTCACCCACAAAAGGGTCAAATTTTAGAATAACCAAAGCAATCATAAAATCCGAAATATGCATCCGGTTCTCTTTATATTTCACACATCCTATATGCTGTGAAGATGGGACATATCGGTCCATTCCTTCTGGTACCTCTCCCACAGAGGGTCAACATTTTGAATATGCATGAAGATCATTAAACTCAAAATTAACATCTGTTTCCATTCAGACATGGTTCATCTCCATATTTGCCCAAATTAGAATTTTTTCGCAGTTGACTTTTTTTCTGTCCAAGGACCTGGATAAATTTCCCATATTACCACTATTTTGGATCATGCAATCAAATAAAGCACAAAAATACTTCTATCAAATTTAGTTCAATTCGCTTAGGCTGTGCGAGGAATATCCCGACATATTTTCCAAATTCCATTGGAAACATAGGGCCTCAATGACAGTGGCTCACGAAAAACAAAACTTGGGCAGATTCAATGTGAAGCTCTAATCATGATGTTACATGTTCTCTTACTTTCGTTATTAGTCGTTATTTACAAAATTTCTTCCGTATATCCTCCAAATTCCATCCGCAAAAATTTCCCCTTCTCCTATAAAATTTCATTTAAAAAGCAATTTTTTTTAAATATTTTTTCAAACAACAAAACGCATGCAAGCAAACTTTATTAAATAATTTTCAAATACTACTTTTAATGCTTAAATTATTGCTATATACATGCATATATATATAAATATACTATATAAAAAATTAACGTTTTTTTTTTGTTTTTAAACTACTATATACATATATACTTTTTTGTAATTATTGCTTATATCGTAATATTATTTAAATACTTGATTTTTATCTATATATAAATATATTTATGCTTAAAACTAATACTATTAATAATAAAAAAGTAAAAAAGAAATTATTAATAAAAATATTAATAATATGTTACAATAAATTATATACAATTTATAAATATACAAACAGAACAACAAGGAACAATTATTATTCGAAAAACAAAACAAATACTTATTAAAATTAAATTTCGAAATGAAAACCAACAATTTTTGTAGTGCTATTATTATTTGGTATTATTACTTATATAACAAAAGTCTAGTTCTATATAAATAAATAAATTAATTAATAAATAGAAAAACAAAAAAACCAACAAACTCCCTCGAAAGAAAGCAAGGAAAGAAAGGCAAAAACCAAATCCAAAACTAAAAAAAGGAATAAAACTGTACCACAAAAAGTGCTTGATATTAAAATCTCAAAATGAAAAAAAAACAACACAACACAAAAGCTAATAAAACAAACATTTTAGGTTATCTATTTTTTAATGGTTTTTCTAAGTTCTAAAGAAAACTATAATAAAAAATTAAATATATTTACTAATACATATAAAATACATGAGTCAAAAAGTACAAATTATCACAATTTTTATTTAAAATTCAATTTTCAAGCCATATAATTTGCGGCAACACAATCATTCCAATTCAATGGCCTATTGAGTGTTCGCCTAAAAGTATGCTTCAAATTTTTAAATTATGCCTAGAGGCATTTACACCGTGTTTTTATACTCGAAACACAGGATGTGATAAAATAAAACTGCAACAAAGTCAAAAGCCATAATTTTTTCCCTTTTTTAATTTTATTGAATGAATGAAAGTCGGAAATAGCTTCAAATTTTAAAATAAGTTTAGATTTGTCCGAATTGGTCATTTTTGTGACAAATTATAGCTTTAAACGGCCAATTAAACCGCCACACTCTGCCCTAATGTTGCTCTGCGGCATTTTTGCCCATTCCCGGCGAAGCGCTTGCTTGAGGTGATCGACACTTTGGTATTTTTTAAGTGCCAACCTTTGCCACCTCCAGACACAATAGTCCAACGGATTGATATCCGGAGATTTTGATAGCCATTGTGCGCTGGAAACGAAGCGAGGGACCTCATTTTGTAACCATTCTTGGGTGGCACGTACTGAGTGCAATGGTGCTAAGTCCTGTTGGAATGTCCAAGGTATGCGGCCAAATTGTTTGCGTGCCCAAGGCTTTAATACACCTTCCAGAATATTTTCGAGATAATATTCGGCATTTATTCTGATGCCACGGTTGATTAATACGAGCAAAGAGCGACCATCGGCTATTATGGCGGCCCACACCATCACCATGGCCGGCGCTTGAGTTCTTTTTTTTCTGGTGGCCAACCGAAGGTGCACAATTTCAGCTGATCTTTGGCAAGTAACAACGATTATTTTGTTTGTTTACCAACTGCTGGCCAACGAATGTTTTCCCATCGGAGAAAACCAAATTCGGCAGTTCACCACTTTCGGCCAAGCGAGGCAACTCTTTAGCTCTTTTGAGTCTATTTTCTTTCTGCTGCGGTGTAAGTTCTTGCACTTTTTGGAATTTCAATGGCTTTACCCCGAGCTCATTTTTCAATATTTGCCGAATGGAATATTGCAAAATGTTCAGCTCACGAGCTATTTTTCGGCCACTGCGACGCGGGTTTCGATCAAGGCGCTTCTTTACTTTTCTTAACCATTTCTGCTGATGTTGCTGTTTTCTTCCGTCCACTTCCTTGACGTCGGGCTACCAATACCAGTATCACGGCAAAAGATTAATTCACATTTAAATGCTGGAGTGCTCTAACGATAGCCACTTATGGTTTTCCAGCCAAATATAAAGAAATCACACTATCACGCTTGAATTTCGTCACGAAAAACTTTTTTTCAGGAAAATTCTCACCAAAATGCTTTTGTACGCTTGTAAACAATATAATAAGCTGTAACTGGAATAATTTTAACAGCTGTTGGACGAGTGGCTTAGAAATGACAGCATTCTGAAGTTAATTGCAGTTTTTTCATCTCACCCTGTACATAATTTGCTGTGGCAACACAATCATTCCAATTCATTTGCCTATTTGATGTTTGCCTAAAAGTATGCTTCAAATTTTATAATTATGCCTAGAGGCATTCACACAGTGTTTTTATTCTCGGTATATATTTGAATTATTATTTTAATATTTAAAAAATCAATAGAGCAGCTTCTATATTAACATTTTTTAAAAATAGAAATTAAAAAACATTGCATTTTTCCAAATTTTAAAATAAAACCACCTTCTAGGATTATTTAATAGAAAAAACTCTGGACTTTTTGGCTCATGTGTTAAATATAGCTACAACTTAAACGAATTTCTATTCAACCAAAGCAAATGCATAGAGGGGTTTATATTTTTGCAAACACCCTCCCCCTACTTTACATTCTCTTGAAATATTTTAAAATTAAATAAAAAATAACAAACTATAATTTCCAAACATAACAACAAAAATATATTAATATAAAAAATGCAATTCTTTTGTAGTTAAAAACTCTTTACAAACCAACCAACAACACCTATTTATAGATGACTATAAAATTCTCGCCTCCCCTCCCCCAAACAAGAGAAAATATTACAAGATATATTAAATTCAACTAAATAACAATATGTATTTACATATTTCAGTCAATAATTTATCAACAACAAAATAAATTATATATACATACAGAAATCAATTAAATGATATAAATAAATTTAAAACTTTAACTCCAATCAAAGATAATTAAAAAAAATAAAATAATTATTCCCCCAAAAAGCAAATAAATTAACAAAAATAAAGTGGAAAATTTCAAAAAAAAGTTATACTAAGAAGAATATTAAACAAATGATGAATATATTCATGAAAACTAAATGAGAAATGAAATAAAAACAAAAATATATGAAAAATTAAATAAGACGTTTTTCTGGGTTACATTTTTTTAAATAAATTCAACTGTCGTCCAACTTGTGGATGCGAAGGAGCAGCTCTAAAAATTTCCAAAATAAATTTGAAATGGCGTTTTCTTTACCATTATCAATCGTATCGATGTATAGAAACGACACCTAAGTTTAACAAAAACTGTGTTCCCCCACTGCATTTTAATTTTACGATTTGATCCGGTAGCATAAGTGGAAATAGTGGTGGGTGGACCATGTGAAATGTTTGTGCAACACTTGAACCGCTATGAATATGAATGGTGGACAACAGTTAAATCGCTCTTGAAGATGAAGGATCTCAGTTATGTTAAGTTAACAACGTATCAGCGAATGCTCCGAAGAGTTTTCAACAATAATCTAGAGCTAGTTTCACTCTTTACTGGAATTCGAGCTGACAGACTTCTGCGAATAAAAAATATATCGAATATACTCAATTTTTCTATACCACTCGTCTATTAGTGAGTATGCTTTGCTCGTTTTCGAATGAGAGTTAAATTCCCTCGGAGCCGAGCAAATTCTACTTTTGTCGAGTACTCTTTTAGTTTTTGTTTAATCCGGTCCTTGGCTTATGCCGTTTTCCCTTCTTGGCTTGTAAATACGATCTCCTCCCCTACAATCGCCTCAAAACTTCTTTCCTACTAAACACAAACAGACGATTCAATTTTCTTCATACGATTTTTATTTTAGAATTTTGACTCTCACTTTTATTTTTCAAACAGGAGCAACTCGCGAGTGCTTCCAACTGAATCAAAAAATTGGGCTAAAAACTTCTACTCCTTGAGCAATCCCTCTCGCAAGAATGTCTTGAAAATGAGCTGCGGATAATAAAGGAGTTTGTAGAGAGGGAAGAGCTTTAGCTCTTTGTTGGATAGAAGACCTTCTGATATCTGACAGCTGAGCTTTTCTATTCGAAGAATACTTTCTAAGGACTTATATGTAATCTTCCGCAGAGGAACTTCTGAAGGTCTTTTATAAGCGTATGAACTTTTGAAGGTCCCCGATTGAAGAATGATGCCCGAATGTCTTCAATAGACAGAAGATCTAAAAGAAATATCTTAAGCGGACTTCGTTTTATAAATAACCCACCGATAACTTTTTATACCCTCAGCCATATGGCTACAGAGGGTATATATAATTTGATACGGCCAAAGCGTGCCTCATTGAAATAACAGTTTTAGACCCTGGGTCTCTTTGGGCCAAATCCGTTTCAGGACATTTGGAATCGATCTTGAGTTATGAATATTCAAATTGTTGACCCTTTATGGGGGAGGTTCCGAATCAGTTGGCCAATATTAAAAATGTTTGAATGTGCGAAATTTAAAGAGGGTTGGAGGCTTATTTCGCTTTTTTTTAACGTTTTGTTTTTCAAAATCTTCAACCCGATGTGGGGAAGGGACCAGAAGAAATGGACCGATCTCTACCACCAGATCTCGTATTGATGGAAACATTCAGATGGACCAAGTCTGAATGGAATCTGATGTTAATTTCCCGTTTTATGTTCCATATACCCACCACATCTTGGGTTAATAAAAATATTGTGAAGTGTGTAATTTGAGGAGAACAGGATGCTTATTTTGGATTTTATGATCGTTTTGGTTATTCAAAACTTTAACCCGTTGTGGTGGAGGTATCAGTAGAAATGGTCCGATCTCTACCATATTTATAACAGATCTTGTGTTAGTAGAAATATTGAGACGTACCAAGTCTGAGTGGAATCGAATGTTAATTTCCCGATTTATGAGCGTATGAGTATATTAAAAATGTTGACCCTTTGTGGGGGAGGTACCAAAAGGAGTGGACCAATATATTCCATCTACCCACCAGATCTTGGATTAATAAAAATATTGTGAGGTGTGTAATTTGAAGAGAACAGGATGCTTATTTTGGATTTTATGATCGTTTTGGTTATTCAAAACGGTAACCTGTTGTGGGGGAGGTACCAGAAGGAATGGTCCGACCTTTATAACAGATCCTGTATTGATGGAAATATTAAGATGTACGAAGTCTAAATGGAATCAGATGTTAATTTCACTCTTTATTTCACGCATATTCAAAATTTTGACCTCTTGTGGGGGAGGTACCAAAAAGAGTGGACCAATATATTCCATCTTCACAACAGATCGTGTGTTTGTAGAAATAATGAGATGTGTGAAATATTAGGAGAAGCTGATGCTTATTTCGGATTTTATAAACGGTTTTTGGTTATTCAAAACTTTAACCATTTGTGGGGGAGGTACCAGAAGGAACGGTCCGATTTATACCATCTTTATAACGATCCTGGGTTGTCTGAATAGAATCGGATGTTAATTTCGCATTTTATGAGCTTCAGGGACATTCCAAATGTTGACCCTTTTGTGGGAAGGTACCAGAAGGAGTGGGCCGATATATCCCATCTTTACACCAGACCTTGCATTAATAAAAATATTGTGATGGGTATAATTTGAAGACAATCGGTTATGTAAGTAACATTTTATAAGAGTTATAATTATTTATCATCATCATTCATCATGACGCTTTATGGGGGAGGTACTTGATGGAGTGGACCGATTGATTGACTAGATTGACTCCAAATGAACATGTAAGACTTCCTCTGAATAGAAAACCATCTGGGATCCTCTATGGGAAGAATATTTACTAAGGGGTTCCCTTCATAGGTTATATTCTAATGACATCAAAATGTTTTTTTTAGATTCTTAACAAGTTTTACTGAAATGCAAACACAGAAATCATTTTACATTGCTACTCACTATTACTTTGGTATTTTTTTTTATTTCATAATTTAAACATTATTTACATTTCTAGAACTAAATTACAAATACTAACTTAAAATCTAATAAATGCTCAACAAGACGAGGGGATAATAATTCAAGTCCGAAACAGTCGATGGGATGTCAAATTACACTTTCTTTTCTAACTTTCTTAATGTAATTGACTACCCACCCTAAAGGCTCATAGCGAGCGAAATGGATTCTCTTCAAATCTAAATTTTAATATTAGTATTACTTAATTCTAAACATTGGTTGTCCTTAAATTAACTATTTACACAAAGTCTCTTATAAATTACAAAAAACAAAATCTCTTCTCTATAATCAATAATTACTCAGATCTCGGCCTATCCTGAACATAGACCTCCTCATCGGAATCCACATCACTTTCACTGTTTTCGGACAAAAATTGTTGTTCGTCAACACTTAAATGCGGGTTGGTATTGTTTCCATTTGTCGTCGTGGCTGTTGTTGTTGCAATCATTTGATTTGTTTTTATAACACTTGTCGCGCCGTTGGCTGGTCCCGATGTCGATCCCCCATTGGCGGCACCTGTTGTCTGATGCTGCTGTATTGAAGCATAATGAGCCGCCGATCGTTTCGCTTGATTGGCTCTACGCCATTTGGCTCGTCGATTCTGGAACCATGTCTTCACTTGACGATCTGTTAACTTTAGTTGTATGGCTAAATGGCGGCGCTCTTCGGGTGACAGATATTTCGATGAGATGAAACGATTTTCGAGATTTTTCGTTTGTTGAGAGGTGAAACGTATTTGACCACCTTTGCGTTTGACACCAAAACCGGGCATATAGAAACCAGGATAGCCGGCAGCAGCATTGCAATAGAGAGCGGCAGCAGGAAAACCTAGAGAGAAAAGAGGGAGAGAAAGAGAGGTTAGTAATGTTGTAGTAGTCAATGGAAGAGTAAAGTCATTGAAAGACCATAAAAACAATGGAAAATTTAATGGAAATGGAAAATAATATAGACGGACGTTTTTAGAAATTTTCAAATTCTGGACGGATTCTTTTGTTGTGGTACTTTATATAGATGAGTCGACCTGGGAGGTGCCGTCATATGAAATGACGAAATATCTTCTGTCGAAATGTTTTTTTTTTACCTCCGAAAAAAATAAAAATACCATTTTATAGCCAAATCGATTTAGAAAGATTTTCAAGACCCTACACCACACTGTGGTCAGGGTATTATGTCTTTGTGCATTTGTTTGTAACATAGAGATGGAAGCCAGATAGACCCTTTTTATGATCTGCATAGAATCAGATTCTGAGTCGATTTAGTCATATACGTTCGTCCGTCTGTCCATGTATTTTTGTAAATAAAGTGAAGGTCTCATTAATTGTCCGAAAGAGATGAAATTTAGTGATAATTTTATTTTATTATACCATCAGCCTCCATATGACTAGAGAGGGTATATATATATCATTTGATACGGCCAAAACATGACTCATCGAAATAACGATTTTAGACCCTAGGTCACTTTGGACCAAATCCATTTCAGGACATTTGGAGTCGATCTAGCGATGTCCGTCCGTCTGGCTGGCTGGTATAACTTTCGAAATGAGTATCCGATTTGATCCAAACTTATATCGAGTTCGGAGATGGCCAATATCGGTCCACTCCTTCTGGAGCATCCTTACAAAAGGTCGAAATGTTCATACAAAAAAAATATTTTACTACACAGAAAGAGAAAGGATAGTCCGATTTTGCTTCTACCTTGCAAATCCTAATATTTGCATCAGTGTTAGGTCATTCCATCAAGTACCTCCCACATAAAGGGTTAATATTTTGAATAATTATAAGTCTTATAAAATGTGATGTTAGAGTCCAATTGTCTTCAAATTACACACATCGCAATATCTTTATTAACGCAAGGTCTGGTGTGAAATTGGGATATATCCTTCTGGTACCTCCCCCCACAAAGGGTTCAAATTTTTGTATATCCATGAAGCTCATCAAACGCGAAATTGACATCCGATGCCATTCAGACTTGGTACATCTCAATATTTCTATCATCATAAGATCTGTTATAAAGATGGTAGACATCGGACCATTCCTACTGGTACCTCCCCCACAAAGGGTTAAAGTTTTGAATATTCAAAACGATCATAAAATCCGAAATAAGCATCGGGTTGTCTTCATATCTCACACATTCCATTATTTCTACTAATACAAGATCCTATATGAAGATGGAATATTTCGGGCCAATCCTTCTGGTACCTCCCTCACAGAGGGTCAAAATTTTGAAAAACCATGAAGCTCATAAAAGGCGAAATTAACATCCGATTCCATTCAGATTTGGCACATCTCAATATTTCTATCATCACAAGATCTGTTATAAAAATGGTAGAGATCGGATCATTTCTTCTGGTACCTCCCCCAAAGATTTTGAAAAACAAAACGCTCAAAGAAGGCGAAATAAGCATTCAACTCTCTTCAAATTTCACACATCCAAATAATTTTAATAACGCAGGATCTGTTGTGAAGATTATAGATATCTCCGAACCCCTTCTGGTACCTCACACACAAAGGGTCACAGTTTCCAATACTTTTATCTATCATAACTTACGAAACAAGTCAGCAATTCTTTTTCTAAATATTTCTCTCAACCAGAAACCTGTAGTTCGATTTTCTAACTCATTTTTGGAGTTACCGACACAAATCGGTAAAATTAAAAACCCAAAAATTATGAATGGAAAGTCCAAATTAAAGTTGGCAACACTGTTGCTAACTTAACTATACTTATTTTTGGTCGGTAACTCGTTAATTACCGAAATTATAAGCATTTTGATTTTACCAATTTTTGTCGGTAACTTGAAAGATGGGTTATAGAATCGCACTACTAAGATTAATATAGAATATATGATTTCGCATAAAATTGAATATAAATTTTCGATTTTCTTGTAATTTTGCCCTTCCATTATTTTTATCTGTATTAGATGAAGTATGAAAATGGTTTACTTCCGTCGGGTATATCTCATGGTAGAAGAATATAGGTAGACGCATCGACAAAGCTGCTGGGACAATGAACCATTGAATTAAAAATATTTAATCAAAAATTATTTAAATTTGTAAAAATTTTTGAGAAACGCGTATTATAATAATCTCCGAATTGCGTCGTATAAGAAAACATACAAAAATCTACTCATATTTGAAAAGACATTTAAAATTTTTTGATATATCAAAGTTCTCAAGTCATGGCGCATCTACCCGTATTTTTTTACCATGCTATATCTGGTACCTCACGCAAATTTTACCATTTTTTAAAAATTATCACACATTTGTCTTGTGTAAACGATAGGTTAGAATAAGGGTCAAAAAATCCAACATATTACCACCGTCATTTTTACAAAACAACTACATTTTTTACACTTAATACATTAATAAATCTTCTTAATTAAATGTTTTCCATAACATAGATACCTTGGAAAACATTTTTTCCTTGTTTATACAATGGAAATTTCTTATTATTGTGTTTTATTATAATATTTTAAGACCTATAAATCACTGTTGAAGTTACAATGTTAAAAAGTACTAAAATATCCAACCATGTGATCCCTTATTGCGCCATTCATATGCATAACAATGGATTAAAAGTGTAATGGAGGAATTCTCTACTCTGATTGGCTAATGATGCCTCTCATGAGTACCACAGAGGAAAGAGAGAGAACACAAACATCAACCATAAACAACCAATGGCAGAGGAAGTCACAGCCAAATAATACTACCTCTCTTTCTCTCTATTGTATTACACTTATTGTAAAGTAGTGTGCGGGGGAGAATGTGTGGGAGTGAGTTTCTAATGCCATAGACAACTAATTACGCGCACACACCCCAACATATCCATTGAGAAGAGACCGCAATGGAATTTGATCATTGCGTGCTCTATAAAGACAACAATAAGAAATATTTAGGGAATAAAACAAGAGAATAAAAGAAATCATTTGATGAAAAAACCCCGTAAACAGACCACATGACTTCGCCCAGAATAAATATTCCGTTGATTCTTTTTTTAAATATATAAATATATTTTTTATTTGGTATCGTTCGTCGGCAATAAATTTCTATACTAAATGGCATTAAATGATAAATGCAATTTAGTTGAAGGCGATATACCTTAGCTATCTACGTAGCCGACAAAAAAGAAATGACAAATGACAAAATAGATTAGCAAAGCAACGGGCGAATGATACAAATAATCGGCGGTAACAACAACACAATAATTATAAATGCCTTCGAAATACGTTATTAACAGTTATTTGTTTTGAGTGCTATCACCAATTTTTTTTTTTTTTTTTTTTTTGAAATTTTGATAAGGCTGTGTTAATGAGGTGAACATAAGTTTTTTTTCTTGTATAAATTAAACAATTGTATGTGTGTATGTTTATGTGTGTTTTTGTGAAAGAACCCAGAAAGGGGAGAAAAATGTCGAAATTATCAAAATTAAATTTAACATAATTTAAGCTATTACCATTTATTGATTGTGAACTGAAGTAGTTAAGAGAGGTGTGTGATTTTACGACATCTGTACATACGTAGTTTGCACAAATGTTTTACGTAGTCATTTCGAAAATCCCCTCACTGCCGTGGCTTATCTTGTCATTGCTGTTCATACCGGTTTTTTGTGGTTGGCGTTATCATCATTATCACATTAATAATGGACATAACGATTAATCGTTGTTAATAGCATTTTTCGGATAGTTCAATTCAAAACGAAAATCATTCTCAGATAACATCCATCCAAACATTCATCGAATGATTCCAAAACGCCAATTGACAATCTAGGCAACCTAGAAAGTACTCAAAATCGTCCCCTTCTTTTTTCAGTTCACACCTTTAGCCGCTATGGTGTTTATTTTCAAAAAAAATGAAAACAAAACAAAATCACAGTCGAAATCGATACTCTACGCCAGGTAGTAAATAGGTATTTCGAGCATGATGAACCTTGTCCAAATGATAAGCAGCGCCGCCAGTATTTTGACAAATTCCCTGATTTATATATCTCGCAACACGATCAAAAGGTGTTTGAGACGTTTCGATGTTGTAACCTACCGAGTTACCGCTCAGGTGCGCCTATTTTATTTTTATTCCCCCTCAGATTTTCGAAACAGTCTTAGTCGTATTTGGGTTTGTTTGAAAATACAAGGGTTGTGGATTAGTATTTGCTTGCCACCTTTGTTGTTGGCGATGTTTGTTTTGTGTTATGCATTGGCGCCAACACTTGATTTCAACTCCTGATTTTGTTTGTTTACATGGTTTTGTGAAGTGTCTGTCATTAAAAAAAAACACAAAAGGGAACAAACTTCTGTAACCATATTAATTGGGGTTGAGTAAGAATGAATAGGGTTTTGTTGGGAAATTGGGGTAAAAAAATATATGTATATAACAAAAATATAAAAAATATTTTTCATTATTAAAAATTCAAAAAAAACGGTTAAAAGTCCACTGTATTGTTCCTGGATCCTGGGGATACTTAAGTCGACTTTCAACTTTCTCTTATAGGTTTTCGATCTTAAGTTTATAGATTTTTGTCGATTTTTTTTTTTTTTTTTTTTTGTTATAGAACCAAATAATATAATAAGTTATTAGCGTGTTTTTCATTTGAACTTTTTAAATAAAATGTTAAAATTGAGATGGATGTAGATTTTGGTACATTGACTTGCGAGATCCAAAAATTATGAATGTTTGCAGTAATGTCAGTGTCTGAATAATTTTTCCAAAAATTTAAACAAAAGTAATTTCAATAAATCATTTTAATTTAAAAAATTTAAATTTTTGGAGTTTAAATTATTAAAATCTCATTATTTGTTGGACGTGGATAAAGTCTGCTACAAAAATGTTAATTATAAAATGTTGCAAAATCACCTTACATATGTGTCTACCACGATGTGGAAACTGTAACTTTAAAACGAATCTTTCACTATTTGTACTTTACATTTCTATAGCATACTTTTAAGCGCTCGCAAGCATTTTAAACTTAAAACAAGTAAAACTTTCAATACCCTCCACCTTAGGGTAAAAGAAACATTAGAAGAAATGTGGCAAAAACCATTAAAATGCCGAATATCGGGAGGTACCGTTATATGGGGTCTACACCAAAACGTGGACCTATAATTACAATGTTTCGCCACACGAACTAGGACCCACTATGACCCACAAATACCAATTTTTAGACAAAAAAAAAAAAATGTGCAAAAACCATCAAAATACCGAAAATCGGGAGGTACCGTTATATGGGGGCTATACCAAATCATGGACCCATGCATGCAATGTTTCGCCACCGGAGCTGGAAACCATTATGACCCACAAATACCAATTTTTAGACAAATCCGTGAAAAAAATGTGGCAAAAAAACTAAAATACCGAATATCGGGAGGTACCTTTATATGGGAGCTATACCATAACATGGACCTATACATGCAATGTTTTGCCACACGCTCAGGGACCCGTTATGACCTACAAATATAAATTTCCAGACAAATCCGTGAAAAAATGTGGCATAAATCATCAAAATACCGAATATCGGGAGGTACTGTTATATGGGGACTATACCAAATCATGGACCCATACATGCAATGTTTCGCCACCGGAGCTGGAAACCATAATGACCCACAAATACCAATTTTTAGACAAATCAGTGAAAAAATGTGGCAAAAATCATCAAATTACCGAATATCGGGAGGTACGGTTATATGGGGGCTATACCAAAACGTGGACCTATAATTACAATGTTTCGCCACACAAACTAGGACCCATTATGACCCACAAATACCAATTTTTCAGACAAATCCGTGAAAAAATGTGGCAAAAACCATCAAAATACCGAATATCGGGAGGTACTGTTATATGGGGGCTACACCAAATCATGGACCCATACATGCAATGTTTCGCCACCGGAGCTGGAAACCATTATGACCCACAAATACCAATTTTTAGACAAATCCGTGAAAAAAATGTGGCAAAAAAAACTAAAATACCGAATATCGGGAGGTACCTTTATATGGGAGCTATACCATAACGTGGACCTATACATGCAATGTTTTGCCACACGCTCACGGACCCGTTATGACCTACAAATATAAATTTCCAGACAAATCCGTGAAAAAATGTGGCATAAATCATCAAAATACCGAATATCGGGAAGTACCGTTATATGGGGACTATACCAGAACGTGGTCCGATATATCTCATTTTCAATACCAACCATCCTAGACACAATGCAAATAGCTCTGCTAAATTTTGGCGCTCTACGTCAAATAATGTGGGCTGTATCGTGATTTCAACAGACAGACGGACAGACAGACAGACAGACGGACATCGTTAAATAGACTTAGAATTTTATGCTGATTATGAATATATATACTTTATGGGGTCTAAGACGAATATTTAAGGATGTTACAAACGGAATGACAAAGTTAATATAACCCTCCTTTCCAAGGTGGAGGGTATAACAAGTTAAAAAGTATCAGTCGGTTCTGCCGAATCAGTCATAGTTCGGTTATTTAAATATATTTTTAGATTTCTTATATGATTATTCAAATGTTTGTATGTGTGAAATTTGAGGAGAGTTGGAGAGCTTATTTCGCTATTTTTGAGCGTTTTGTTTTTCAAAATTTTGAACCCTGTGTGGATGTCTACTATCTTTATAACAGATCTTGTGTTGATGGAAATATTGAGACGTACCATGTCTGGAATGGAATTGGATGTTAATTTCGCATTTTTTGACTTTCATGAATATTCAAAATTTTAAACCTTTGTGGGGGGGAGGTACCAGAAGGAGGAGGAGGAGGAGAAGGACAGATGTATCCCATCTTCACAATAGATCTTTTGTTAGTGTGAAATAAAAAGTGAACCTGATGCTTATTTCGCGTTTTATGACCTTCATGGATATTTAAAATTTTGTACACTTTGTAGGGGAGCTACCAATAGGAATGGTCCGATTTCTATCATATTTTTAAATGATACTGTGTTAATGGAAATTTTCAGACTAAATGGAATCGGATGTTAATTTAAGCTTAATGGATATTCAAAATTTCGAATGAATATTCATTTTGTGGGTCCATAAAAATATTTAGATGTGTGAAATTTTCAGACAATCGGATTCTTACATCACATATTCAAAATTTTGATCCTTTGATCCCCCCAAGCACATTTTGATCCCCCATTTTTTGCACCTGACCGGATTTGTAAAGTTGGAGCAAAATCGGATTATTGCTTTTTTTCCTGTGCAGAAAATATTTTTTCTTTTTTTTAAATTTCGACGTTTTGTGGGGGAGGTACCAGATGGAGTGGATCGATATATTCTATGTTCACACCAGACCTTGGGTTAATAAAAAATATTGTGATGTGTGTAATTTGAAGACACTTACATCAATCACATTCTATAAGATATATAATTATTCAAAATGTTGACCCTTTGTGAGGTAGGTACTTAATGGAGTGGACCGATATTGTTCATTTTCGCACCTGACCTAGTACTGATGCCAATATTAGGATTTGCAAAGTTGCAGTAAAATCGGATTATTCCTTCTCTTTCTGTGCGGTAAAATATTTTTTTAAAAATTATGACCTTTTGTGGGGGAAGTACCAGTGGACCATTTCCGAATTCGATCTATGTTTGATAATAATATTACGATGTACCATGTTTGGATAAAATCGGACGGACATCGCTAGATCGACTCCAAATGTCCTGAAACGGATTTTATCCAAAGAGACCTTGGGTCTAAAACCGTTATTTCGATGAGGTACGTTTTTGCCATATCAAACGATATATACCCTCTCGAACCATTTGGCTGAGGGTATAACAAGTTGCACAGCTCAAGCATGCTTTACATCGTGGAATATACATTTCTTAAAACTTATACTTAAAACTAACGATACTTCTCGACATTCGTCATTAACAGACTATTTTTATACCCTCCGCCATGGTATGAAGGGGATATTAAGTTTTTCATTCCTTTTATAAAATCTCTAAATATAAATGAATCAAAATATACATGTTCTTGGTCAACATAAAATTCTATGTCGCTTTAGCGATGTCCGTCCGTCTGTCCGTATGTGGAAATCACTCTATCACTCTAGCGTCCGAACGAAATGAAGTAAGTTGATAAAATTTTACTCAAATGTATATTATGTCTGCAGGACTTTTGGTATTGAAAATGGGCCATGTAGGTCCTCGTTTTGGTATAGCCCCCATATAAAGGTGCCTCCCGATATTCGGTATTTTGATGATTTTAGCGACATTATTCACCGGAATTGTTTCATGTTTGGTATTTGAAGTTCGTAATGGATACTACAGCCTATCACAGAAAATTGTTCGTGCAGGTCCACGCCTTCATATAGCCCCCATATAACGGCACCTCCCGATATTCGGTATTTTGATGATTTTAGAGACATTATTCACCGGAATTATTTCAAATTTCGTATTTGAAGTTGGTAATGGATATTACAGCTTATCACAGACAATTGCCTATGCAGGTCCACGTCGTCGCATAGACCCTAATATAACGGCTATACTCGCAATTTTTTTTCAAGATTTTAACAGAATTTTCAACGGATTTTGTTTTATTTTTTTTTTTTTTTTTTTTTTGAAAATTGCCAAATTCTTTCCAAAGGGTGGCGGGTATTCACAGTTCTGCGCGGCCGTACTTACAGCTTTTTTACTTGTTACATAGTAAAGGATATTGAAAAGTATGGCCCGGCCGAAGTTAACTGCTTTTTTATTCGTTTATTTTTAAACTCTAAATTAATGATTTCAAGTAACTTTTTTGTTTGATAACGAAAGAATTCGAAGGGGTTGTCCCCCACCTAATTCACTTCCTGATCGATGAATCATCCATAACCAATGACCTTGCAATTGTCAAAAACATATTTCATTTCATGCGTTCCAAATTCACTCATGACTCACCTTCACAATCCAAAAACTGGCCATAGGCTGGATCACAATATACCGACGGTGTAGTGGCGGTCGGGCTGCGTACTCCATTGACAGCGGCAGCATTGGCCATGGCAGCCGCCGCAGCTGCCGCCTGAATGTGGGGCATTAAAAAGGCCGAGTTCTTTTGTAAATTTAAAATTTGTTGATAGAACAGCGAAGCGGTTGGATCGTACAACGCTTCAAAGTGGAGATTGGCAGGACCCGATGGTGATGAAGGTGACATAGCGGCGGCGGTGGCGGGATGGAGGGATGTCAGCAATTGATTTGCTGGCAAATGTGGCAGCATTGTGTTGGGCGAGGTGGGTAGCTGAGACGGGGATTCGGGCATTTTTAAAGTGAGATTTTTAAAGGCGGTGTATTGTTCTAGGTCGGGAGTTTTTTGAGATAAACTACTGTGGGTGGGCGAAACTGAGGACGGCACCGGATGGATTTCTGCCGCCGCAGATGCAGTGGTAGCTATAGGTTTTGTGATCACATTTAACGACGACAGCTTGACGGGGGCAGTTTTCTTTTCCGATTTTTGCTCTAAAATATTTTCTATTGAAAATGCCGAAGATTTGGTATTTATCGATTTGGTTGCATCCATCGGGTATGGCGGTATTCAAGGATTCGTTGTGTTAAAGCCAATTTGTCGTACGAATATTGAACACAAAACAGAAACCGATCAATTGATATTTCAATTTCGATTCACTTGCGCACGGGCAATTGTTGGGGGCTCTCTTGTCTTAACACCAAACCGTTGAATGGTCTAATTGATACTAAATTTGAGATTTCTTCTACCCCGCCAACAATAATAATGAAATTATTATTGTTTCTTTTTTTTTGGTATTTCGGACAATTAATCAAATCAAAATAGAATGTTTGCAGGTAATTGATATCTTTATTAATAGCATTATGAAGTAGCGACTTGTGAGCGCGGCACACACACACACCTATGTACGCTGTATAAGCCGTTGACAGTAGTTTTGTTTTTGGTGGTTGGTAGGTATTTTTTGAGATAAGACAATGTCCGCAGTTAACCCTTTGGGAGGGAGGTAGGAGAAGAGGGAGGGGGACATCGAGACAAGAATGCCAATAACTCTCAAGCGCTTCCATGGACATAAGAGTTCTCCAGCTCTTCTATTGAGAGAAGAGAGTCTCTTAAAAGAAGAGCGCCTATGTTTTTCTATTGATACAAAGGCGCTTCTGCTCTTCTGTTGAGAGAAGAGTACTTCTGCTCTTCTGTTGAGAGAAGAGCATTTCTGTTCTTCTGTTGAGAGAAGAGCATTTCTGCTCTTCTGTTGAGTGAAGAGCACTTCTGCTCTTCTATTGAGAGAAGAGCGTCCGTCTGCTCTTCTATTGAGAGAAGAGCACTTCTGCTCTTCTGTTGAGAGAAGAGCACTTCTGCTCTTCTGTTGAGAGAAGAGCACTTCTGCTCTTCTGTTGAGAGAAGAGCACTTCTGCTCTTCTATTGAGAGAAGAGCGTCCGTCTGCTCTTCTATTGAGAGAAGAGCGTCCGTCTGCTCTTCTATTGAGAGAAGAGCGTCCGTCTGCTCTTCTATTGAGAGAAGAGCGTCCGTCTGCTCTTCTATTGAGAGAAGAGCGTCCGTCTGCTCTTCAATTGAGAGAAGAGCGTCCGTCTGCTCTTCAATTGAGAGAAGAGCGTCCGTCTGCTCTTCAATTGAGAGAAGAGCGTCCGTCTGCTCTTCAATTGAGAGAAGAGCGTCCGTCTGCTCTTCAATTGAGAGAAGAGCGTCCTTCTTCTCGTCAATTGAGAGAAGAGCGTCCGTCTGCTCTTCAATTGAGAGAAGAGCGTCCGTCTGCTCTTCTATTGAGAGAAGAGCGTCCGTCTGCTCTTCTATTCAGAGAAGAGCATTTCTGCTCTTCTATTGAGAGAAGAGCACTTCTGCTCTTCTATTCAGAGAAGAACATTTCTGCTCTTCTATTCAGAGAAGAGCACGTCACTGCTCCTCTATTGAGAGAAGAGCACTTCTGCTCTTCTATTGGGAGAAGAGCACTTCTGCTCTTCTATTGGAAGAAGAGCACTTCTGCTCTTCTATTGGAAGAAGAGCACCTCTGCTCAGAGCACTTCTGCTCTTCTATATTAAAAGAAGAACTTCTCTGCTCTTCTTTTTTGATTAAGCCTCTCTACGAATGTAAGCGTTCTCCATCTCTTCTTCGGATAGAAGGGCTGAAGATTTTTTATAGATTCTTGGGCTCTAAAGCTCTAATAAATAAAGGATCTACCTTTAGATGATCTTTTATTGATAGAGTGCCTTCTTTTATTTTTATGACTAGAAGACCTCATGTAACCCCTTGCCCACCAAGGGGTTAATAATAGCTCACCATTAATTGATTAGAATTCCAATACAATTTACCCGAACGATCGGTAATTAGCTAACAGTATATTTTTTTCCAATCACGATAATATACTCATCGTTCTCCTCATGGCAGTAGAAGAGAGAGAGCATACGTTTATGAACGGAGTGAGCGGCGAGAGGGGACAAATTCGACCATTGCCAATGATAGCAATAGCGTATATTGCCATAGATAATGTCGGCTGGCTCTCAATCATTGCGCACGATTTGCGGGGTTGGGTTTTTTTTTCATTCTTTGGTGCAATGGCGTTGCCCGCATTCGTTGTTTTAAATATTGTGGAATTAGTTTTGATAACGCCCTCCGAAACACACAGAGACACATAGTTATGGCTGGGGAATAGGGATGCCTGGTGAGATTTTTCAAGTCTCAAGGGGTCTATTTTTATAATTTTTTGTTGGATTTTTAACAAAGTTGCGTATAAAAGAGGAATAATTTGAGGCTGATTTGAATACGTATCTTTCCGAAAAATCCATTCACATTTTTGCAATGACTTCCCATTGTAAACCGCCTCTATTCCGCTACCCCTACTAATTGGAAGACTGACAACAATGTTTTCGACAATTTAATTTTTCTTTGTCCCCCGTTCAATGTAAACTTATGACCATCGGAAAGCCTGCTAGGTATCTGAATATTATTTCAATAGGTGTTTTGTTTCTTTTTTTTCAACTTTGTCGTTTATCTATGTAACAGTCTACCGTCCACCAACCGTCCAATCGAACTGATATATGACCCTCTTAAATTTTCTATTGATTTCCTCTTTGAGTTCGAAGCTTTTCACCGCCATCACCGTCATTGCCATCGAATTTTTGCCGCCTCTTTGCCTTTGATCAAAAAACCACTAATTGTTAATCATTACTGGGGTGTTATCTGCTACCAAAAAAAGTAATGTCGGCTCGAAGTGATTTCATATATTTTCCATTTCGACAGGTTACAGACCAGATAGGGACAGAATAATCGAATTTGTGTAATAATTTATGGCGGTTATGAAACGAAAAATGTTGATGGGATTTATCCAATTTTGATAGCAAAAAAATGTAATAACTTTGGAAATGAAGTTAAAAATCTTAGCCAGATTTTTAAGTTAATTGGTAAGGCTTATGCCGTTGTCGGGTAATTTTTCATAAGTGGCCTTGTAAAATTTTCCTATTAAAATCGGTATTTTCTTATTTTTCCTTGCTTCCTCTGATATATAACGAAGGATATATATTACAACGTGCCCGATTTGACCTATATTAACTACTTCCTTCACTTTATATGAGATATGTGATATTTTTTGGAAAATGTTGAAATATACCTGACATACCCGATATATTAGACTAAAGCATTTCACTTCATATAATATAGAAAAAAAATCGTGGATAACCAATTTTTTTGGAAAAGTTTTTAATCATAATTTGTATCTTTTGTGGGGGAGGTACAAGAAGGAGTGTGCCATATTCACATCAGATCTTTGATTGAGAAAAAATATACCAAGTTTGAAAAGAATCGCTGACTTGTTTCACGTTAGTAAAAATAAAGGGATACTTGAAATTTGAAGAGACTCTGATGCTTATTTCTCATTTTATGAGATATATAATAATTCAATTTTTTTTTTCGTTGTAGAGGATGTACCATACAAATAGTCCGATATATTCTACCTTCACACCAGATCTTGTGTCAATAAAAATATTTGAATGTGATAGTCGTTATTTTATTTGACATTTATAAAAGTTATATATAAGAGTTATAATCATTTCAATATTTGACCTTTTGTGGCGGAGGTACTCAATGGAGTTGTCTGATATATTCCGTCTTTTCACCCGATCTTATGTAAATAAAAATATTGAGATGTATACATAAAAACTAAAAATATTATTGAATGGCGCCCAACGAAAGGCTTTGAATCGCAAGGAATATTTTGTTTGTAAAAGATTTAAGATTTTTTAGGGACCTCTTTGTAAAACCTTGTGGATTTTTAGTATATGATTTTTCTAAGAACTACCTTACCACAAAAGGCGAAACTTTGAAAAATTCTTTGGTAGCCGCTTATACCAATTACTCTAGATATTTTTAAGAATATTCTTGACTAAAAATCGTACATTTTTCAAGAATATTTTTGAAAGACCTGTTGAGCAAGTAAGGCCGTCCTGGTCAAAATTGTGGTAATTTTAAAAATATTTACCACATTTTCTCCAAAAATCATAGAAATTTTATTTTATTTAAGATTTTCAAGGACCTCTACAAAAAAACGACTTTTTTGTCAAATCTTCATTAGTAATTGGGAAATCCTTTAACAATGTTCTGGATTTTTTAAGATTTGCTTTTTGATGGATCTCTTGGATTTTATTAATTATTATTATCATTATTATTATTTATTTATTTATTTTATTTTTATTTTTTTTTTTTTTTTTTTGAAGACAGCCTAGGCTGAATTTAAAAAATTTAAGGAACCGCCTCACCACGTTCTTTCCAAAAATCATGGAATTTTATTTAAGATTTTTTATAGACCTCTGCAAAAAAATGTGGATTGTTATTATTTTTTTAGGAGTGACCTTAATTAATAATTGAGAGATCCTTTTAAGAATGTTCTGGAATGTTTAAGATTTTTTTCGATGGACCTCTTGGATTTTACGTTTTATTTTTATTATTATTATTATAATTTATTTATTTTCTTTTTTTTGAAGTCCGACCTGACTAAATTTCAAAAATTCGAACGACTGCCTCACCATTTTCTCTCCAAAAATCATTGAATTTTTATTTTTTTTACGTTTTTTTTTTAAGGATCTCAAATAAAAAGTATTTTTTTTGTTTGAAGAATGGCCTGACTGTTCTGGATTTTTTAAGATTTTTTTATGGACGGCCTGACGAAGCGTCATTAATAATTGAGAAATCCTTTTAATAATGTTCTGGATTTATTCAAAGAATATTATAAATTACCAATAATTTTAATTTGTTGTATAGATGTTTTCCCAAATTTTATTTTATTTATTTTTTATGGACTTCTTGGATTTTATGTATTTTGAAGACCGACCTGATTAAAATTTCAAAATCATTGAGAAATTCTTTGAAGAACGTGCTGACGAAAAAATTTGGATTTTTAAAAATATTTTAATGAACGTTCTCCCTGTAAATCGTGGATTTTAAAGAAATATTTTTTAAAGACCCCTTGACCGATTCTTGACTTTCTTGTCGATTCTTGTCGACATAATTTGTTGAAAAGCAGGCCTTTTGGAAGGATCTCCTCACCAAAAATTTTTATTCTTCGAAGAACCTCAATTCAGAATTCGTGTTTTTTGAAGAACTATTTGAAGGGCACTTTTAAAAGTAATTTGAAAGGACATTCTGATTTTCAATAACTTTTTAAGGATATCTTCGCAAAAAATTTGAAGAACATTTTTGAAGGACCC